GCCCTTGTAAAAAAGCAAGTTTTCATTTTCTTAGGGTAGTAAAAAATCTTTTGTGTGAAGAAAAAGTGTCATCAAGCGCCTTATTCATCAGCATATATACTATCTCTTTAAAATGACAGTGGGAGTAAAAGTTCATCAGTTCAATATGTCTTTCACATTTGGAGACTCCTGACTAATAACCTCTGGTATTTATCATCAGAACAGCCAAAGAACTAAATTCTGGCACATGCTGCTCTCACACACTGAGAAAAACTTAAAAAGACAGAAGATTTTCTCCATTTTTCCTTCTTCCATTCATTTATAAGAAAAAGCATATCTTTTTTTAATTAAAATATGAGCGTGCAGAAACATCTGGCCTGTATTACCATAGCAGCCTCCTAAAAGGCCTTGTCTCCATTCTGCCCTTTTAAAGTCAACTCTAAACAACAGCCACAAAGATTTTTCTAGAACACAGAACTTCACCAGTCACTCACTCATATTGCATCTTTTTTTAAAAAAATATTATGTACTGATTTTTGAGAGAGAGAGAAAAAAGATGGGGGGGGCGAGAGAGAGAGAGGGAGAGACATTGATTTGTCATTCTATTCCTCTTATTTATGCATTCATTGATTGATTCTTGTATATGCCCTGACGGGGGATTGAACCTACAGACTTGGCATATCAGGATGATACTCTGATCAACTGAGCTACCCAGCCAGGGCTCATTGCCTCTTCTTTCATGACTCTTTGATTTGTATATCCACAGCTCCCACTTGTGCTGCTTACCCCCTGTCCTAGTCACCAAGCTACTGGTGGTACCCTGATTCCTGCAAGAATAAAGGCTGTCCCCAGGCCTGTGTACAAATCAGTCCTTTTCCCATAAGCTTCCTGCCAGGATCTGCAGAACTGGCTCCCTACTCGGGCTCCCACAGCACCTACCCAGCACTTATCACAGTCATATGGAATACAGCCCACAGTCTTGTTTTCACTTGGCCAGCATGATCGTTTAATTTAAAAAAAAAAACAAAACAAAAAAACCTCATCAGGCAGGTCATATCATTGTTCAGTTTCCTTAAGGCCCCACTGCTCTCTATTATACGCCAAACCCTAATTACATATTTACTCAATGCTGGGTCCTATGAGGCTACTTGATCTGTTATTTTACCCGATAGGCTATAAGCTAGTAGCATGTGCCAAGATTTTGTATTAACTTTTGTATCTGTGGGCCTGGCAGAGACTGCTCAATAAATATCTATTATATTAATTTATGTTTTTTTAAAAAAAAAGGTTTAAAAAGACACAATAACTCTTTTTAGCCTTTCTGTTCACAAACATGATAAAACTCAGGGACCTCAATGGACCTGGCAGATACTAACAATATTCTGTGGGGATGGTTGAAAGTCTGTGTTCATCATAGGATGCTGCTAAGACTGAACAGCTCTGGACCTTAAGCCTCTGAATGTGATTATGGTCTTTCCCGCTATTTCCTATATCAGGACATCTATTCTTATGATCTCTCATGAGAATTATTCCTCACATCTGTCACAGTTTCATCTATTGAGTCATTTATTTCCTTGGTTTTATTTTATATTCGCATGACCTCCATAGTCCTATCCAACTGGGCTCTTCAGAAATTTGAATGGAATAGAATTAGATGCAGTATTTTATTCACTTTGTTAGGTTTGGCCATGATCTGAGAACAATCAACGTGCCTACTCAAATTTTGATCCTGCCAGGGAGCAATGTACTCAGATCTGTGCCCAGATCTGTACAGATCTGGTGAGGCTAGAGGGTGCAGTAATGGAAATATCCATTGGTCAACCACAGATGTGTCACCCTTCTGATAATCTAGTCCTTTGTCTCAGTCAGTGTATTTTCCATTCCTAAGTTATTTTCTTCTAAATATTTATTTACATGCTACTTTAAAGACACTAAAAAAGATGTGCTGTCCAATAGGACCCAGCTTACCCATATTTGTGGAATTCCACATCATTAATGACATAGGTTTGTGGCACCTGTCTATGCCAATGTCGTTGTCATAAATTAAATCTCCGGAAACTGCCCTGAAATTCAGGGAGTGCTGTGGATGTTTTAGAGGGACTATGTACCATGAGGCATTGCTGAGGAAATGTTAGCACAAGAATGGAAATATGTCCAAGTATCAAGTTCAAGAAAAATAAAAAGAGAAACCTTTTGTCTAAGTTCCTGCCCTAGGGAAGAGGGGTGCATAGAATGGGGAGAGCTTATTACAGAATGCTTTAACAACCAGAAATTTCATTGACAATTTTGTTAATGTGTCTGTTTGGCTGCATTCTCAGAGGCCTGTTGTGAATGTCTTAGTTGGTATCATGAATGGTTAATGGGTGCACCTGAAAATCAAGCAATATTGTACCATTTGGACAATAGTTATATTAAATGGTTCTTTTGTACAGCACCAAGCTTATCAGCTTAACTTTTCCCTACTAATAAATACTTCATCTTTTCCAATTTCTAATCAAATGCTTCCACATCATCTTGAGGCAGAACCAGATCCAGCTGCATCTATTCTATAATTTTGGCTTCAATCATGTCAAATTATCCAACCTACTCACAGGTCCTTAGGCTCTGTTCTGCTCTGAAATAGAGCCTGATGCATCTCTTCAGAAGCTCATGGTTACCAGCCATTCAGCACAGGCCCGTTGTAAGTAAACAGATCAAAGAGAGCACTAGGTTAAATTTACAGTTATGAGGAAATGTCTAGAATAGGTTTGTTCCTAAATTTTGGCACCATAACAGTGATTTTCAACCAGTGTGCCACGGCACACTGGTGTGCGACAAGATTTTTTAAAACACACAGTACTTGACTGTTTAGTCAGGGACACTGACCTCTTTTCCCTTAGATTGTCAAATAAAAAAATGACGACAGCCACCACAACAATAGCTGTCCCTTGTGAATGAATCAAAATTATACTGATGTTTTGTAGAATCGGCAAAAAAATATATATATTTTGTGTGTGCTGCAGAATTTTAATAATTAGTTTATGTGTCATGAGATGATCACTGCATTATGGGGTTGATCTCAAGTGATTTTCTTTTCCCTGAAACACACATGTACCTCATTATGCATGGCTTTACTTCAGAGTTGAAGATTTCCACCGCAGTGACAAAAAATAGATGCAGCCATGTTTTGGCTATAAAATAATAGATGTTTAATTTTTCATGGATATTATATTGTATGGGTTGACCAGAAGCCTCAGGCTTCCCATACTTGGCCATATTTTATTTTCTTCAACCAAATACCTGTAACTGAAAGGGGAAAATACAGGAAATAGTGAACAACCCTTGGGGACACCTAATGCTGTCTCTTTCTGTCATATTTGCCTGAAATTTTCGTATTTCTTATGCCTCTTAGTGAGGTGAATTTTGGAACCAATTTTTTTCAGTCAAAATTCTTACATTTCGGGGCTTTCCTTCATCTGTAGCATCTTTTGATTTTTGATGCTCTGCTTTTCCTTCTGAGCTTTAAAAAGACCCCCTTTCTCCACTAAGAAAAGCAGAGCCCAAACTTACCAGTGCACACCCGAGAGGACTAAGGATGCACCTCCTTCTCCCGGCAACACATGCAGGTACTGTTTGGTGCCAGAGGCCATGCTTTATATTCCCTAAATCTCTGTGTACAGGGTAGGCACAATACGTGGTTTATAAGTGGATGAACGAATGAGTGAATACCTGATTTCACAATTTATGGTTGTTTAACCTCTTCTTTTAATCCAAATTTCATTCCGACTGAGACTGTATCATCTCAAAGTTCTTCAAATAGTCTTAATACTATGGCTCAGTGGGTTTAGTGAGAGCAAAAAATGTTGTATAGTTTGGAGCCCTCTAACAGAGAAGCCAAAATGTGGCATGCACAATATCAGAATCCATGCTCATTCCAGTTAGCCAAGTGAAGGAATGAATCTTTATCCTGAAGTTTAACCATCAGTTGAACAGATTGGTTACTATGATTACTCCCCATTGCACCTCCCTCCTGTGGTTGGAGCCCCTTATAACATTTCAGAGATGGAAAAATATTTGGGAAACCATCTGTTTCTTGAAATACTGAAATGGAGACCTTCACCTTCAGAGAGTGCTACTGAGACAGTTCAAAAGATAGCCACCGTTCCTGCAAACATTTGTCAAACAGCTTGTATGTGACATGAGTTTGAGATCCATGCGACACTGACTATTGTTTCAAATTGGTTATAGTTTGGTAGCCAAGTATAGAAATAAAACAGAATACAATATGATAAATTCTACAATAGATGCATGTATAAAGAGCAGAAGTAACAGAGAGAGGGGGGTATTTATCTCCATGTAAGGCATTAAGGAAGGCTTCCTGAAAGAAATGTGAACCATGACAGCAGGTTCTATTTTTTGGATGGCCGTAATTAGTGACAAATGCCCCCGATATGCTGATTTATGCATTTATAAAGCAGGGTCACATTGTAAGAAGTAAAAATTTTAAAATCAAAGATTTGAAAAGTATTTGATTCCTCAATATATCACCTAAATCCATCTCGATATTCTATGGTTTGCATGGTATCTGAAAAACAGAGCTGAATATCTACTATATTAATGGATTTATATATGTGCACATAAGGCTAATATAACTTATGCTGCCAATTTTTTATGGTTTATAAATAGTGCTATCACTATCATTTTTAAAAAGTGAAGAAAAGAGCTCATATGTGCTGGTAGAAATTCAGTGTATTTTATAGACTACTGCTACTCTTGATATTGCCTACGGGATGTGACTTTTCATAAAAACCTAATGAACTTCTAGATTTGTCAGCTGTTTCCAAACAGATGTACTCTGCTAATCTAATGGAAACATTTTGAGCCCATATCCCAAATATCAATAGCTTTTAGTACTGCAAATTAGTTTGTCTATTGAGTAAATTGGACTCTGCAGTTCTTGATAAAAAGTAGCAAGTGATTTTGTATGGATATTTTATGTAAACTGCCTTGCCAGGATTTGATGCTCATATTTTTCCTTGCAGAGTTTCAAGTTGAATGTAGACAGTCATTGTGCTCTCAAGGAAGCTGTGGAGGAGGAAGGACACCAGCTTCTTGAGCTTATTGCATCTCACAAAGCAGGTAAATCCTCCTGAAATATTGCAAATCTTTATGTCTCCAGACTATTAAGAATGAAGAAGCGTTGCTGTAAATTACTGCATATATTCACCTCCTTATGTATTATTAATATTTACATTATCAGATTGACCTTCAAGATTTATAAATGTTTCATATACTGCATACAATGCTGTGATACTTATAAGATGAAATACTGCCTCCAAATGGTCTGCTCATTTTATTTTGGGCTTGCTGTTCGCCTGAGTTTCAATTGAAATCACATTCCTGAAAACTTCACATTGACATGCTTTTTGATGTAGGTGCTCTGGAAATAACATTAAGATAATGAATGAGAATTGTACATATCGTTATAATGCACACGCATTAAAGTACTTATAGATATCATTACAGATAGAAGGCTGGCATTCTAGAAAGATCTGATTATTTCCCTGCCAGTTCACACACATGAACATTGTGTGCATGTTCTTTGCTGGTCATTGCATTAGCAGAGTTTTGGCCTTACACCAATTCTTACCCCAGTTTTAATGTATTTATGAGGAACAGATTATAAATAAAAAATAGTTTTGTCATTTGGTTATAGTTATCCTGGTAGTAAAAGACCATAAGACAGGATGAATTACAATTTGGCTCTTGCTTTGAGCTTACCACAGCTAAATAAGAAAAGAGCAGCATTAATCGGATGTGCTAATGCTCAAGACTGCTGTCTTAATTATGGCTCATTTACTGTATTTCTCATTGAATTAACTTTACCTATCTCCATACATCTTTCTGATCATTTTTAAGTCTCCACACAGATACACATAAGAACTTTTGTTTTGAATGTGAAGCTTTAGTTAATAATTTTTACATATTATGATTTTTGTTCCACATGCATTTTGTTAGTCAATATACTGAATGCAAGTTAATTTTGAGCCATTAATCTACGTGGTTATACCGTTTTTGTGTCCTTTGCTTTATGTCAAGTCAAAAATTCCCGGTGTCTATCCTGAGTGAAAATGCTAATAGGGCAGGTGATGGTAATGGTGATTTCAAATTATGTTTATTGTTTGAAATAACCATCTGATTTACTACATAATAATGACACAAATGCAGTCAAGTCCATAACCTGTGCTTTCCCCTTTTTCTGGAGAAGGACTAAAGGACATGCTGCGGATGATTGCAAGTCAATGGAAGGAGCTGCAGAGGCAAATCAAACGGCAGCACAGCTGGATTCTCAGGGCTCTGGACACCATCAAAGCCGAGATCCTGGCTACCGATGTGTCTGTGGAGGATGAGGAAGGGACTAGAAGCCCCAAGGTAAGTAGCTTGAAGTTTGCCTTATTTCCTCTTACTTCTGTCTTTTTTTTGAACCCAGCACCACTGAAGTTCTCTGTCTACCCCTAAGGCTTTTGTTTCTTATTGTGTAAACTTTATCTATCTATCTATCTATCTATCTATCTATCTATCTATCTATCTATCTATCTCTATGTAAACAGAATGAAATGGCTCAGTTTAAAACACTAAAAAATGCCTCCAACTTTCAGGTTTTCTAGGAACAGGTCATTTTGTGCAAAGTGACAGGGTAGGAGGGGGACAGTACTTTAGCAGTAGGAGAAAGGGGGACATAAAACATTTAGTAAACAAAACATAAAGCATCTTAAACATGAATAATCAGAATGATTTTAAATTGTTTTGTTGCAACTATAAATCACTATAATCAGTGCAATCACTCAGCTCTGACATCCATTAGCCGCTTGGTTACAGCAAATTAACAAAGAAGAGAGAAAGTGATTCATTATCTCATTCCTGTTAATGACTATCAGATGCATTGCCTAATTAGGGGATGGTCATTGTAGTGGGAAGAAGGTCATATGCTTTGCTACAAATCTTTTTGCTCTGAGTGTAAGTTCTCCAGAATGGTACATGCACCGAATACAACAAGTACTTTAAAAATGAGTATTGACATGTTTTGCTTTTCCATTTTAGATTTATGAAATAACCCTCAAAGCATATGCGGTTAAACTTTAAAGGCGGCACCTTTTAATACAGTGTTCTAAAGGTATCTTTGGACTCAAGATGTGAAAAATAATTTTATTAATTTTATATTTTCATGTAATTTCTCTCTTCCTTTGTATTCTTTTGTGAAAGTAAATGCAGAAAGCCACACTCTCAGACTCTGCATCAGACCATATTGTAACATGGGAGAAACAGATTTCAGGGTTTTATTTCTGGCATGGACAAAGCAATTAATTAAATCATCATCAGGTCACATTTATTCAGCATCCATGTGGGTTGGCATTGTGCTAAATATGTGCAAAGCAATTTAAACAAACCCTTTGCCCTCTTAGACTCACATTCTTAAGGGTAGGCACAAGAGAAACACAAACTGCCCTACAATGTTGAGACCATTTGTCCAGTGAAAAGCTCAGACAATTTATAGCTTTGGAACCTCAAACAACAACCTTTAACTTTTATGTTGGAAACAGGATAGAATGATGAGCTCAGTTCCACTTAAAGAAGGTTCCACGGAGGAGGTCACATTTCAGGAAATACTTGAAGGAAGGAAGGGGGTGGCTTGGCACACGAGCACATATTTTTAGGAAGTGACGATGAGAGGATCAAAGCTGAAACGAATAATTTGGAATGGAGAGTGCAGTCAGCAGAAGTGGAGCTCTTTTAAGGAGCAGACTGCAGGCAGAAGTTGACTGGACATGATACTTTGCGGCGGTGATGATGAGAAAGGACACAAAGCTCCGTTGTGTTTTACTTATTAAACAAAAATATACCGAGTGCTTCCTTTTAAAAAGCTACTCTGTATTAGATGCATTCTGCATGCCAGACACTGTTCTACAGCACTTCCATGTATTCTTTATTTAATTCTTACAACAAACTTATAAGATAGTCCTTTTATAATCCCCAATAGAGAAAGTAGAGGCCCAGAGAGGTTAAGTAACTTGCCTAAGATCACACAGGTACCAAGTAGCAGAGCTAGGATTTGAATCGGGACCCTTTGGCCCCATAGCCCATTTTCCTCACCACCTAGAGCACTGCCTCTCACTGGCACTGCTTAGCGCAGGGTATGGTGATGAGCAATGAGCCTTAGTACCTGTCTCATGGAGCTTGCGGTGAAGTGGGGAGACAGGCTTGAATCTAATCATCGTGTCTTCATAGACTGTTGTGCTGTGAAAAAAAGGGAGGAACCAGAAGTTGGGCTGGGAGAAGTGATTTTGATGAGGATATGAAGGAGGACTTCTTTCAGGAAGCAAGTCTACGCGCATGCCAGTGTAATTGGAGAGAGGGAGGACTGTGCAAGGTCAGCAAAGGGGACGGGCTTTGGAGCAAAATGACATCATTGATTTGCAGTGAAAAGACCTGCTCTTCACTGTGGAGCATGGAGGGGGTGGAGGAAGGAGGTGTTAAAGTGGAACTGTGGAGACAGTGCAATCACCTAAATTAATAAGAGACCTATGTTGAAAATGAGTGGCTGTTTACCGGGGCCGATTTGGATCTAATACTTTAAAATCAGCTCATTTTGTAGTGAGGTCCCAAGATGGAATAAAGACAATAGCCCAATGAGGAGAATGTATGATCAAAAGAGAGACAACATCAGCATTTCTCAAAAAGAGAGCTATCTGCCCATGCCCTGCCTCGGACAAATCAGAACCTCCTGGGTGGGGCCTGGAATCTTCATTCCACAGGCTCCTAGGAAACCACCGTCACAGGCTCTCAGTAGACCCTTTTCCTGCATGGATGCATCATTCGCCCACAACCTGGATTTTCACACAACATGAGAGAGATAAGCATTTAAACATTAAGTAGAAAAATAAATGCATCCAATTCCTAATGATTCGGGTGCTAACCAAACAACAACAAGGAAAACCCTCTCTATTTGAATTGTCCCCGGTGTGAAAGTATCTTCCTTGAATCACATCAGTTTACAAGGCATAGCTTGGGTTTTTCTTATTAATAGTATTACTAGTCCAGAGCATTTCATGTCCCACTAGGTACACAGTACATCTAAAAGCACCTACGAGAAGCGGCTTTTGTAGACATCTACAGGTGTGGAACCCAAAGGAGGTACTGGCAATTTAAGATTTAATGTGGCAGAGCCAGCAAAACCCCAGGCCTCCTTCCAACCAGTTTTTCTACCCCATTTTGGGCTGAATTTTCTCTGGACAAATGAACTCATTCATAGTTGAGGGAGAAGACAAAATCAATTTTAAGACAAAGGAAATGTATTTCTAAGTTTAAGCTTAGGAAACCAAGGAAAAATCAGAATGATCATTCTTTCTATTTGTTTAAATTTTATGAACTACTTCCCTTAGTCCCTTAGGCAAACACGAAGAATAATAGGAGAAGCTCAGACTCTGAAGTCAGGCAGCCTGAGTTCAACCCCTGACACTGACTAGCTATGTGTCCGTGGGAAAATTACTTGATTCTCTGTACTTCAGATTCCCCGTTTATAAAATAGAGGCAATGGTTATATCTATCTCAAAGGGCTGTGATACCGGCTAAGGAGCTGACGTATCTAAAGAGCTTAGAACAGTGCCCAACACATACTAAGTCCGATGTAAATGTACAAGGCTTCACATTCTAGTTGTGGAGACAATGGGCAAATAATTATAATACAATCTGATAAATGTTCTAATAGAGGTAGATACAAAGTTCTGTGAGTGCACAGGGAAGGAAATAACAACCTGATTGGGGGTATCAAGGAAAGATTTACAGCAGAGTTGCTGTTTTAAGTGGTGGCAGGGGGAGGGGAATGATTTTTGCCAGAGTGAAAGTAACAGGCAGTGAGAAGAGCAAAGAAAAGATCTGGGTGTGTAAAAATGTGTTGTGGCTAAAACCCAGGATCCTGTGGACGATGTCTAGGCTGGCTTGCCACAATCTACACCAAGGCACACGGTGTGACAAAAAATGACCCTTAATGATCAGTGGTTTGAGCAATTCCTCCTATGTCCCTGATTGACACTATCCAAGCCAGAGTGAGATCATGATGCAGAATATATCTAATATGTACTATTTAAACAGAAATTTTTCTTGCCATATTCCATTAAAACCGAGCAAGCTGAAACGGGTTACCCTGAAGTTCTCCAAGGCTCAAAGCTGGATTTAACTTGGTATCTATCGTGTCAGTCCTTTTTCCACGACTGACCTTGCACGGGCCCCGTACGGACTGCGCCATGAAATGCATTTCCAAGCACAGCATTTATGATCATCTATTTCATCTTAGACCTAAAAGAGGAACTAAAATTAAAACACAATAAAAAATAACTCTAGAATTCTTTTTAGGTTTACTTCAGAAGCTACTGGGAACTTGAGAAGCGTAATAGAAAATCTGAGAAATATATCTAGGGGGTATTTTTCTTTTTTTACCTTGTTTGAGGGACTGAAGAAAAGGACTTGGTCTTAGAAAACTTGTAAAGAAGGAAGACAGGAGGAAATTCAAAGAACCTGGGAAACTTCTCCCTCAGGACTCGGCAGCATACCTTATTTGTTGTATTTCATTTTTGAAAAATGTGTTTTCCCAGGACTGTGAGATCTTTTATACATGGAAATAGGGAACAGAATTCACCAATTCTAGAAATGGAGCTTCAGCACTCACATCCAAAAATTGAAAATATGCTTGTAGTTATATGTTTTCTTTTAGACTGGTGAAAGTTTATTACCTTAAATTGGGTTTTTAGTATGTTACATTTTTGAATATGTATAGATGGAGGGATTTCAAAGCTCAATGAATATTTAGCTCCTAACAAAGGCTACAGCCTTTTCTTTTGACCTTTCACGGCAAAGCCTAAAAATCCTGAAAGCAAAAAGCTTTCTTAAACTTTGCACATTGCCTCCTTTATAATGTCTTTATCCTTTATAGCTTTACTTTTCACCTGTACAGCATGCCATCATTACAGATGTCTTAGAACCATGGCCGGGACATCCCCAACGTGACGTCACTGTAAGCGCACAACCGTGGTAACTTTGTCCTCTTTAAAGTGACAGATACATTTCCAAAACCAAGAATATTTGAACATTTTATTGTGCATTCAGAAAACTTTACAGCTACTAGAAGGGTGATGTAGCCCAGGTTCCAATCAACATCTTCATTTCCTCAGTGAAAGGAGGCAGAGGGTTAGCTGGTTTGAACCCTAGGGTTGTGCTTTCTTTCCCTCTCCCCAGTCCCCCCACCCCCAATCTGCCTTCTTAGAGGTTCTTAGATTGACGCTTTCATCCCTTTCGAAATGGACATCAGACTCTGAAGGTCATCAATGTATCTGTTCACCAGTAGTACAAAAGCAAGCTTAAGGACATTTGCTCAGCCC